TGAAGTATTTAGCAAGTATCATTCCCATTCACAGAAAAGGAATAAATATAAATGAGGCAGTTAAGTGCTTTTTAAACATCAGGGACAGAAACAAGAAACAAAACCTGATTTTTAAAATTTCATTAGGGTATGTTTTAAAATCATCATAAAATAATTTCTTCCAAGTATTTCTTGTACTTTTCTCAGAGGAGATGCTATAATCAGCAGATGAATTAATAGGGTGGATGATTGGAACAGCAGCAGTAGGAGATACTAAGGTGGAGGTTTAGTCCCTACTCTACGAAATGCTGCACAGTTCTAGCTTATCCAGTTTCCAAATTTAAGCTAGTCAGTATCATATTGTTTTGGATTCCAATATCCTCATTTTTTCTAAAGTCCCAGAAAAAAAATAACACTATTTATAATCATATTGATCTTTTTATACTCCACTCTTCCCAGTAGTGTGGTAAAGAAAACCAACCGATTAGAAAGGGAGGTACTGGGACCTACAATGCACTGGGTGCTCTCAGAGTCTCTACCAGCAGATGTGCTTTCACAGCTCTCCCTTCCAGAGATACAAACAGGGCTCACATCCTTCAGAAGGACTAGAGAGAGGAATGGTTAGAGAAAGGCCCAACTTTCCTCAGCTCAATCACTTTGAGCCCCTCACATTCGCGGGATTCAGCTGATGAAGGACACAGTTTATCCAGGGGTAATTCGCTAGAAAAACAAGGCTTTTGGCATCGAAACCTCCAGTGCATCACAAACTTCCTGCTATTATCTAATAATACCCCCCCAGCCATCACTGTTTCCATAGTAACCGACAGAGAAATAGCAGCCTGCCAAATGGCTTTTGTAGTTCCTTTTCCAGTTTGTTTTTCAGTAAAGAATTAAAGCTAGCTGGGAAAAGAACCAGACTAATCTTTGCAAACAGGGACACAGTGTGGTTTGGAAAGTACAACCAGGTTTGGGAAAAGAAGTGTAGAAAAGCTCTGATGAACCCCACCTGACAGAATAATAAAGGTCTACTGAAATATATTTGGTAAGCTTTAGCTTGGTCTTAAGACAGTATAACCTGACTGGCCAGAATACAGATACGGAAGATCACTTAGCCTTTGATTTGAACTAAACAAAATAGGGACTGCAGAGAATGGAAAAGCAAGCTCCAGCAAGTCTACAATGTCCCCATATGCTTTACCATCATTAAAAGAAATGGCAATTTACTCTAAAATCAAAACAAATATGCAGGAGTCGGCAGACTTGGACTAAAGGACAGTGAAAAAAGGATCAGCACCTTGGAGGAATAAAATGTTTAATTCCAGGGATGATGTATGCATGAGGCTGACTGAGCCAAACGTATGAATCAGAGGGGCACTGGTGTTTAGGAAACAAAGATCTCCTTACCATCTCAGCACAGGGAGAAATTGTTAGTAATACAGTGTGTGGAACTGGGGCAGCTTTCAGAAGATCAGCAGCTCCAAAGATGTGCTCAAGGTGCCAGATTGCAAAACAAATAGCTGCTGCAGGAATGGAGGAGTTTGAATTTTTTAAAAAGCATGACTAATTCTCTTTGAAAGTGGCCCAAAACAAATGCTTTTCTGTCTCAAAACTGCATACTTAAATGAAGTGCAGGAAATCTCATGACTCTTCTATGTCTGCTTCAGATGAGAAAGTGTGACTCAAGTTAGCCAGGTATTAGCTTCTCCACTGATGGGTCAAAGCTAATAGGAGTTTGAAAGATTCCCTCCCACAACCTCTAACATACTCCAGTGTCTTGTCAACAGACATGAAAATTATAGTCTATAGTGGCATACTGAGACAGGTCCCTAAGAATTACAGGAAGTCAGACTCCTACAAATCCCACACAGAAGACCAACCTAATTTATAGTTTTTAATTTATGCTTTTACCTTGAGTTGTATGAATCATGAGTCATGTTCTCAGAGTTAGAGTTTAGGGAAAAAAGTAGACAAAGACTTGCAATAACTATTTCCTTTCAATCCTTCAGAAAAAGGACCATTTATAAGATAAAGATGATGTACTCTAAGATATTTCCAAGGCTGTCAACTCAAAGAAAGGCTTCTGAACTTCTAGTTTAGCTACATTTGTGGATTAGGATTTTTGGAATCTATAAATGAAACTTGAAGGAATCTTTTCAAAAGTTTAAGCTTGTGTCCTGTTTACACAAGAATGGAACTTACAGGTTCTGGGGGGAAAAAGGCTTTTTAAACTGTATTTACTAATATGTGATTATAATTTCAAATATATTAACATTCATTTTCCCCATCATAGAAGCCATAATTGAGAGGATATACAAAAATTGCATCAAATTCATAGTTAAGACTAGATGAGAAGCCAAAACTTACTAGAGACAATAACCTGAGGTACTGACATGTTTATATTTCTTTCCAAATCTGTTTCCTCAGCCAACTTTATTTGAAAATCTCAGATAAATTTTCTTACTTATTAGATCTGTATTTTCATCAAGTCAGCTACCATAGTTACTCTGCATATTCCTTTGCTACCAGTAAATAATTAAGGGGACTTTATTACTTTTTGAGTGTTTCATGGCCTGTGTTTTTCATCTGTGTTCATCAAAACAGACTCCAAGGAGACTGAGGAGAAGAGAAAGCTTTAGTGTGGAGTACGGGCAATCGCCCCCTTAAATACAGATTCTGTTCCAAACAGTTGCCCACAGAAACAGTGCTGGATGTGGTAGTTACATTCTCTGTCTACACATTAATCTATAACATAACTGAATTACCAAAAAGTAGCTCTTGACCACCATGCATTATATATTTATATGAGAAAATGAAGAGCTTCAGCTGCCTGGAGGGAAAAGGAATGGGGTATTTCTGGGCACCAGAAGATAGCTAATGCTTACTAGTTGGAAACTGTTTCTATAGTAAAACTAATTTTCCAGAAAGCATATTTTGGGGATTCTTAAGCTCCTAATCTATAAATAGGCCAAAAATGTTTTTAAAAGGGGGTAGTGGTGGTGAATGTATGTGTGTAAAGAAACAGTAATTGAATACTTAAATACTCAGCAACGGAAAAAATAGCTGCAAAGGACCTAAGACCAGGATTACACTGAAGATTATACACCCTATAACTTGTCTGCCACTCAGAAGGAATGAAAGCTATCTCTAGGAGGAAGGCACAGCACTAGCATGTGCTAGATGAGCTCCAGGAGGAAAGCTCATCCACTGCTCAGGTCCTACGACCACACCTGGCAAAAAGCTAATGTTCCATATGTCTGGCTTGAGAAGAAGGTCTGCACTTAAATAATGAGACACCCAGTGTTTCTCTGCTTTTATATAACAGGAGCTAAGGAGGGCAGGATGAATTCTTCACATGTGTGAACTTGGTATTTAACTGAGTGGAAGGGTATGTACAGAAGTATAACCACACCTAAAAAGAATATAGCACAGCTTGGGTTGTCTAATTCTCAGGTAGTGCTGCTCCTTGGTACACGAGAAGGCTGCTTGCCAATGTAACTGTGAAGGCTATCCATAGTGCCCAGGGAGCAACAATTCACTCAATAAGACATGACAACTGATAATCCATTACTAATAATGATGAAAGTTTCTGTGTAAACAAAAGCAGAGAAAACCTAATGAAGGGAAATTATACCCACAAAAGGAGCTTAATGGCATATATGCAAAATAACGCAACATGCTTCAAAATGCCATGCATGGAAACTCAAATACACATGAGGAAAACACCCACTCTGTTAATGGTATTCTCAGAGATATATATCTGATGAATAACAAACATGAGTACTGACTGACTAATAATGATGTGTTCTGGATTAGGTCATATACAAAAAACAGCCTACTGGTTGGCTTTCCACACTGACTGGGTCTAGTTTAATGTTATAAGCCGAATGGATCAGGAATTTTGGTTAGGAAAATTCACAAACCCTGGAAATAAAATAATTTGGTAGAGGTTTGCTCTTTTCTTGGAGTTCTTTCTTAGTCCTAAGTCCTTAGTCCTAAGGTACTACACTGTTGATTCAAAAGAATTAATAACCCTAGTATCCCTCAAATGTCATGCAATCTAGGTAAGAGCTGGGGTGGAAAAACTGAAGTTATTTATTTATTTATTTATTTTGAGACAGAGTCTCACTTTGTTGCCTGGGCTAGAGTGCTGTGGCATCAGCCTAGCTCACAGCAACCTCAAACTCCTGGGCTCGAGCGATCCTTTTGCCTCAGCCTCCCGAGTAGCTGTGACTACAGGCACGCATCACCATGCCCGGCTAATTTTTTCTATATATTTTTAGCAGTCCAATTAATTTCTTTCTATTTTTTTAGTAGAGACTGGGTCTCGCTCTTGCTCAGGCTGGTCTCAAACTCCTACCTCAAACAATCCACCCGCCTCGGCCTCCCAGAGTGCTAGGATTACAGGCGTGAGCCACCGCGCCTGGCCTTTGAGTGTAGACAGACCATCACCTCTGATAATCTGGCTTGAGTTTCCTCTCTCTGAAAGAGTTACAGATCCATCTGTGTTTCAGGAGAAGGCTAAGGAACAAGGATGCACATAAAGCTCCCTTACAGAAAAGTGGCCACATCACTGTGAAGAATACCTAAAATGAAGGCTTCCTCAGGGGCATCTTCCTTGTGCCTTATTCCCCATTTCTTCCCCTTCTTGCCCCCACTAGCTTGAGTCATCCTTCCATAATCTTTCTTTCTTAGCATTTACCATAATTGCAGTTATTTGAATAATTAGCAGTACCTATCCACCCCTATTAGACTGTATCTCCACGAGGACAGGGACTGTATCTGTCCTTTCTATCAGTGGACATGAGCCCCCAGCACCAAGTACAAGGCAGGCAATTCCTGCTGGACAAGTAAATGAACGGGCAACTTTGGAAGCCAAAAGTTAACCATGGCGTAAGCAATTAGTTGAAAATGTTTTAGCGATGAAATGTGTATTCCTATCCTCTAAATCTGAAAGTAGGAGCTCCACTTTTTTCATAGAATAATAGAAGGAAGGAATAGCATAAGAAAACGAGAGTACTCACTGGCGGTGGCTTCTTCCTCATCTCAAAAGTGCGTGTGGCACCAAAACTGAGTGAAGCAATGATGGGGCACCTCCCGAGTGAGGGTTCATCATCGCTGTGCCAGTCCACACTGTCCTTCTCATTTCGGTAAAGGTTGCAGAGCAAGGAGTTGAAGGTGTGGCCAGTATTCTCTTCAATGCGGTGCTTTAGTGTGCTCAGCACAGGATGCCACTGCAACCAACAGGCCGAGCAAAGGGCAGAGACAGTCACGTAAGACACAGGGTGGCAGCCACATGGAAAAACAGAAAGGGCAAAATCAGTCAAGTTATAAACTGGGACATGGAATAAGCAAACTGCCTGGAATGCAACAAACAGAAGGCAAGAAGAATAGTTTAATTCCCTCCTATCATTTCTACTTTGAAGAAAGTTGACCTCTGCAATTTTATAGAAGTATTAAATTTGGCATAGCAACATCATGAGGACCAGGGTCTATCTACCCATCTCATCCTTTCTATGACCCTTGCAAAGAAGCAATGTCAGTACATTCAGGTCAGTGACCTTGATAAGTCACTAAGGTAGTAAGTGCAGCAGTAAAGCGGACACGTTGCCAGGTAGTGAGCAGACCCAGAGTGACGTCTGAAGAGTGAAACAACTTTCCTACCGGGTGGCTCTCTGTTCAGTCTATTCCTATTTTATCCTGAATGGCAGAATTGCTTTTTTAAAAAGATATTTAAAACTTCCAGAGTGGCTAACTTCCTAAAAACAGAATCTGAAAGGGAAAAACATTCTTCTCTACAGAATGGGAATCATGACATGCTCTTAAGAGCATGGACTGTGAACTATAGAAGACCTAAACATATCCCATGGCCTCACCTCCTGGGCATTGAGTTCACTGATGTAGTTTATATTTCCAACTGTCTTGCCATGTGTACTACAGGAAGCTGTGATCAGTGACCTTGGGTTGTACTTGGAAGCTACAAAAAGAATAGCTTGTATTGGTTCTTGCTAGAATTCTGTGTCTTTCTTTCCAGAAATCAAGTGCTTTATAAAGCTTCCTTTAGAGCAGTGGTTCTCAAACTTTACATTATTAAAAATTATTGCGAACCCCAAAGAACTTTTGTCTATATGGGTTATACCAATTGGTAGTTACCATATTGAAAATGAAAACTGAAAGAAGTTTAAAATACTGGTTAATTCATTTAAAATGCAATAACAAACACAAATATTTTTTGAAAAATAACTATAATTTCCAATACAAAAAATTGATGAGAAGAGTGGCATGTTATGTAAATCTCTTTAATGTCTGACTTAACAGAAGAGAGTTGATTCTCATATCTGCCTCTGCATTCAATCTGTTAAAATAGGTTGTTTTGTTGAAGCATATGAAGAAAACTGGACTCATACACAGTTTATATCCTTTTTCAAATAATTGTAAATATTTTTCTTTGATATTGTACCAAAAATTATCAAGTGCTGATTTCTTAGAGGTTAGCTGAAATGTTGAATCTAAAACCATATTAAACTTTTCATATTTTTTACATTTAAATCCACTGGTCCATACTACTGGGGACTTCATAAAACAAAAAAGTAAAAAAAGAAAAAATATATTATAAAAATAAATAAATAAATCCACTGGTCCAGTTTGCAATTTTGAAATGATCTTTAACCTTGTATGGTTTTATAACATCAACCATTGGTCATCTGGAAAATATTAGTTCACTGAATTATAGGGATCTTCTAAATGCTGACGCGTTTCTTTATACAATAACAAAAAATTACATCTGTTATTACCACTGATCATCAGAAAAGTATAACTGAAGAGATCACGCTCAAAGTGGCAGATACCAGTTTTCTAAAATTCTAATTTTTGCTTGAAAACTCAACTTTTATCATTAGTAACAAATCCTGTCCACTGTTTTCCTTGAAATTACATTCACTTCATTCACTTATGAGAAAATATCTGCTAAATACTCAAATTTTAATAATTATAAGTCTGTTTGCCAGTTGTCTTCTAAGTAAAAATGGTCCATGAAAAAAATAGCTAGTTCAGCTTACAGCTCAAATGATCACACCTTGATTTCTATCAAGAGTGCTTTAGGCATACTTCTAATTTCATCAGAAAACTATTAAGAAGACATTTACTCAAAGACTGAGATTTAGTAAAACTAATAATGTTTACTGCTTCATCAAGGGTCATTCTTAAATCAAATAATCATTTTAAAAATTTTAAACTGGAGGTGCATGGTGATGAAGAACACAATGACTACTAGTACAGTTTGATGAGAAGGACTTCATTCATGCTAAGGTGCCAGAGGTTTCATCCATTATTACTTTTGCACCATCAGTTCAAATTCGACACAGTGAAAATGTCTTATTTTCTTAGTATTGTTACAAAAATTTTATTTACAGATTCCCCAAAAGGGTTTCCTCCAGGGAATCGGAAGATTACACTGTAAGAACTGCTAGTTTAGAGAACTCCTCCAATGTCTGACTATGTTATGTGTTTGGTAGTGAAGGAATGGATGTTCAGCAAAGGAAAGACAATGTTAAGTATGTCTCATGGCTACTGTCAGGCAAAACTGCTGGGGAAACATACATGAGAATCACTCAGCTTTACTATAATGTGAAAACCATGGTTAAAACTGGAATTCTTGTTGTGGATATTAGTATTACATTCTAAGCAGAGGATTTAAACCTGGAGAGACTCAGGAAACCTCTGGAAGTTGGAAGTTTCTGGATCTTTCTCTACTGTGGTAGAAAAAAATATAACATGAGATCTACCCTCATAAAACAAAAATGTTATTAAACTAACCTATGTTCAAGAGAATAAATTCCAAAGTGAAATTCCAATAATAATGTCAGTAAGCTGTATTTCCTATTTATTTTACAGCTTTAAATTTATCTTCATGGAGATAAAGATCAGATGCTAGAATTATACACTTCAGGAGAAAAACAAGAATGAAAAAGAGAAAGATAGCTTTTCTACACTGTGACTGTGAATCTAATTAGCACTTCCCTGACTTGCTTGGGGACTAAGCACTATGATAACATCAAGTTTGCATTATGTTTCTAAGTAGGTATTTTTTCTCTTGGTTATTTTTGGTAGTGAAGTATAGAGGAAAGGGAAAAAAAGAGGGGGATAATGAAGTACAGGATTAATTTAGACTCTCCAACCAATACTCTACATACAGATCCCTCAGAACTGAACGTCTAAATTAAAATTCAGCATCATCTCACTGTTCAGTGAAGACATTCTATCCTTAAAAGACATTTGAGGAAAAGAGTACAAGAAAATATGAATCACAGAAATAAAAGGACCTATTCAGTGGATTTCAAACAATGTTTTATAGAGCTGTGGGTACCACAGTGGTGCCTCCAGGTCTATAGTAGAAGAAAGGAGAGGTCAAGCTGGTAGAACTCCCAGCCAGTAAAGGCTTTGGTTAGTTTTACACATTGGGTTCATATAAGATTTAGTTTGAATAAAGACTAAAAGAAATTTTAAAACCTATGGTTGAACCTGCTCCTCTTCTATGGCATATTAAGCTTGACGTAGTAACAATTTTTAAATTAAACAAGTACCCCCAACAAACATACAGACAACACACACATACACTAGTGCATCCTCCTTTAAGAAAATCTGAGAAAGGCAACTCTTTTGATTTTGTTTAAGACAGCATATAAATGAACTAAATCTATTAACAATAAATACAGAGTTATGAGCCAGTCAAATCCAAATTAAAGAATTCTAATTTGACCACCTTAATATCCAACTACAGATGGTTGTTTGAATAAATTACAGTAAACATCGATTACGGCATACTATGCAGCTATTGAATATGATGTTGTAGAATATTTAATGATACATAATTAAATGAAACATCATATACAGAATTTATTTTATTTTTATAGAAAAAATATTTTGTAGACATATTTTTCTAAAATAAAAAGATTGGAACTAAAACATCAGGTGCCAACATTGTTAACAATTTTAATATTCTTCTTTATGCTTATCTGCAGTTTCTAAATTTTCAATAAGCATATATTATTTACATTATTTTTTTTAAGACAAGGTCTTATTCTGTTGCCTGCAGTGTTGTCAACATAGCTCACTGCAACCTCAAACTCCCAGGCTCCAATGATCCTCCTGCCTCAGCCTCCCAAGTAGCTAGGACTACAAGTACGTACTACCATGCATGCCTAAGTTTTTCAGTTTTTGTAGAGATGTGGTCTTGCTATGTTGCTCAGGCTGGTCTTGAACTCCTGACCTCAAGTGATCCTCCCACCTCAGCCTCCCAAAGTGCTGGAATTATAGGTGTGAGCCACCATGCCTGGACATTATTTACATTTTTTAAAAAGGACTGTCATAAAAAAATTCTTTTGTAGAGTTGTCAAAATGTTCCCAAAGTATCAGAAAAGAGGTTACTTTACTCAGCAGATCCTGTGTACCTTAAGTTTATTCTCAAAGAGGTAATTTTTCCCACCACCCAGCAGATGTTTGATGTCTGGAGTCAGTTTTAGTTGTCATGACTGGGTGAGAGGTGCCACTGGCAACTAGTGGATAGAGGTCATAGCTACTGCTAAACATCCTACAATGCACAGGGCAGCCCCAATTAAAAGAAAGAATTATCTAGCCCAAAATGTAATAGTACTGAGGTTGAGAAATCCTGTTCTAAAAGCTAAACTAAAATGAATGAGAAAGGACTTCTTCCCCACACGTCTGTTTAATCCTCAACTTCTCTGCTATGACTGTTGACAAGATGATAAATGAATTCTGACAGAAACAGGGAAGCAACCTATGTTGGACTGGCCTAATTCAATTCTCTGTTTCCAAATCAATCACAGATATAAAGGGTCTCAACACTTCCCTGGATCAAATTTTAAATGCAGCCCTAGAAACCAAAGCACACAACTATCTCCCCTTATGTGAAAAAGCCATGCAATTTCAGTGAATATTTTATCCCTGAATATCTTAGTAAGGTGGTAGTCTGTGATTACATATTACTAGAAGCTTTGAAATGTGTCACAGTTCTGTGTATCGCAATGCCATAAGCAAAACTTCATTTTCTTCAAAGTCTCTTTCAATAAAGCATAACATTATTTGCCAAAGGCAAGATTCCAGAGACTAAACAGGGAGCTATTTCTTGGACCTTAACTCCATCCTCTGGACAAGCTTAATTTATATACTAGAATATCTTTGTCTACTGTCATGGAAATTTTTAAAAACAAAAGAAGCAGTAGAAACAAGCCAAAGCAGTAATAAATTGGAAGTCTGAGAACTGCAGCCATATAATGAATACAATGTCAACAAGAAAAACACTAGATTTTTTTCTCAAATAGCAAAAGAGCCTGAGAAATGGAAAAAGACATTCTGACCTTACTGGCCAGTCATAAGGATGTAGTCCCACAGCAAATGCATAGCACAGTGTACACAGAAGGATTACAGCCAGAGAAGCTAGAGGGAGGGGGATATTAGGAGGAGAAATAGTTTATTTTCCTGAGATCCTGGCTTCTGGTTCCTGTTTACACTAGCTCCAGTTTTTTCTCACCCTCTGAGTTCATTTGTGGATCAAAAGCACATAAAGGATGATGAGCACAAAGACTCATGTTTGAACCCACGGGGTTTTCTGAACTAGGAACCAGCATGCATCTCTACAAGGTAATTTATTGTTATTTTATAGCACTGAACACTTATAGTATATAATCTATAAAACCATACCAACAACAATATTTCAACATACGTGAGGATTTGGTTCCATAGTGACTCTTGAATAAGTGTAAGGAAGTTCTCCATACCATGCTGTAAGTCTTGGTTGCTGATAAGTTATATCTAAGAAAGAAAATACAGGCCTTTGAAATGGTTTAGTGCTACTGAAGGTATACTGAGTGCCAACTCTGTGTCTTACAATGTGTAAGAAGTTACGAGAAATACAAAGGAAAGGTAAAGATAGGCTCTGACCTAAGGTTCCACCTTCATAGAGGACATGGAAGAAAAGGTAAGAGAAGGCATGGCAGACACAGCATAGGCAAATGCTCCAAGATGAGAATGTGTGTGACTTGCTTGTGTCAGTGATAACATAAATAAAAGAGAAGGAGTCACACTTGGGAACAGTAGGGCTCAGATTAGGGATGATCTCAAAAAGCAGGATATGGAGCCTGAACCCGTGCCACAGGAATTTGTGGCACCAACATTCATACAAGAAACAAGATCTAGGTGTGCAATATTGTATAAGCCCTTTTGATTCCAAATAAAGGAGAAAGTGCTCTGACCAACTGTAGCATGTTGCAGATTTTAGTCAGAGTTTTTGATGTTCAAATTTGTATAGAGAGGGATCTGCTTATCTATAGATCTGCTATTTTCCCAAAACTGTTTTGTTTTGGTTTTTTTGATACAGAGTCTCACTCCATTGCCCTGAGTAGAGTGCCATGGCATCAGCCTAGCTCAAGCAAACTCAAACTCCTGGCCTCAAGCAATCCTCCCGCCTCAGCCTGCCAAGTAGCTGGGACTACGGGCTCACACCACGATGCCTGGTTAATTTTTCTATTTTTAGTAGAGACAGGGTCTCTCTCTTGCTCAAGCTGGTCTCAAACTCCTGAGCGCAAGCAATCCTCCTGCCTTGGCCTCCCAGGGTGCCAGGATTACAGCCGTGAGCCACCTCATCTGGCCTATTTTCCCCAAACTGGAATTAGCCATGACAACAATAAGAACAATAATAATAAAAGCAGTTAATGTACACTGAAGGCTGACTCTGTACCTGGCATTCTGTTAAGCACTCATCATGCTTAACATGCTTACCTCATTTAATTAGCACAACTTTATAAAGTAGACATTATTATTAGCTCAGTTTTACAGATAAGAAACCAAAGATCTGAGAGTTACTTAACTGTAATTTGCCTAAAATTAACAATTACTTAGAATGACAAGCTGACGATCAAAGTCAAGTCTGTCACCAAAAGTCCTCTGAAGAAACCGTTGGGAGTTGAGAGAAGGCTGCCCTGAAAAAGCTCTCATTCTGACATGTAACAAAAATGAAGTCAGTAGAGTTGGCCCTCCACATCTGAAGGTTCTACATCTGCAGATTCAACCAACTATGGACCAAAATATTCAAAAAAATAAAAAACAAGACAACAATAAAAAATACAAATAAAAAACACAGTATAACAACTAATTATATAGCACCTACACTGTATTAGGTATTGTAAGTAATCCAGAGATTTAAAGTACACTGGAGGATGTTCACAGGTAATACGCACATTTGGTGCTATTTTATATAACGGGACTGAGCATTCTTGGATTTTGGTATACACAAGGTGTCCTGGAGCCAATCCCCCATGGATACCAAGGGACAACTGTATATACTTTGCCTGTTTCTTTACAGAAAATTTAAATTCATTCACTGTGCCAGAAAAGAAATTCTACGCTAGAGCACACACGCCCCCCAGTGACCACCTGGGGTATAACAGGCACTGGTGGTTTGTGGATGCCCACAGAGGAGCAGGTTCAAGCCAGGTAATAAACTGCTGTGTCACCTTTACAAGCTCAGGAGTGTACAGATGCTGAAGCTAAAGGAGACTGGACTCTTCTGGGGAAAGTTAAATGAGAATAAAAAGTAAGTAAGAAGGATCACAAAAGAATATATGCAAAACAGGATCAGAAAAAGAAAACTCTGGAAGTTTCTATAAAGAAAGAGGGAAATCGGCACCATTTGAACTAATAGAGGCAGTAAACAAACACAAAGGGAGATAAGTATGTTAACCACAGTTCAGCCAAACCAGAGTCCTTTGTTTCCTTGAACTCTCACCTCTCCACTTTTGCCAGGTTCTCTCTGATCTCTGGGCCTTTCACCTATTGTTCCTTCTGCCTGGAATATTCTTCCCTGTCCCCTCTGACTGGCTAATTCTATTCATCCTTAAGGTCTCAGGTTTTGAAACTCTGTTTAAGACCAGCTGTGGTGAGCAGAGGCAATAGCATTAGAAAACATTCTGGAGAGGAAGACCAGGCAGCAACAACTGCAGTCTCAGAAATCTACTTACCTTCTCTAATGCCGGTCCTCTGTTTCCAGGGAACATCTTGACAAAGCTGTTTCAGTATCCAGTCCGCTTCTTTTACGTCAACAAAGCCAGGATACAAACACACCCTTGATGCAAAAAGAACCATTAATAACCAAAGAACATGGAAAAGATGACTTAGACTCTCTAATTGTTAGCAGAAAATAAGTTAATCTAGATGTATCTTCCAATGGGATGATGAAATCATCTTACCACAGCTCCCATGGTAAGCATGGGAGCCTAATATTACCCAGGTCATGATGTTCCTAATGCAAAATAAGCTTCTTTCACGTTAAGACAAATAAAAAAGAGGCAGTGAAGGATAAAGGGATGATGCATGATGGCTTTTATAGATCATAATTCAAATACTACTCCAGCACTGCTTAGCTATGAAACCTTGGGCAAGTTATTTAACCTCTCTGAACCTTGGTTTTCTCATCTGTAACCTGAAGAAGACATCTACCTCACAGGGTCACTGTGAAAAGTAAATAGAGTAACTAATAAGATGCATGGCCCTGTGTTATTTAAATAATTAGTGATATTCTGAGACTATGCTGATTCTAGGGAAAGTTCAAGATCATTAAGACTGTATCAAGGTAAATACATCTGATGAGGATTCTTTTTCCCACTGAAAATAAGCTTATTTTAACAATCCCAATTCAGCTTAAAAATAACTTTGGATATCTTTCGTAAGAAATGTTCTGAAAGCCCACAGAATATTCTCTTGAACAGTCTTGGTGGTAGCAAATCTTCACTTTTTCAGAGTGCATTTGATTTTCTGAAATAGCCAAAGCTCACCTGAAGCCATACCTGGTTAACAATGACATGTGACCAAAATAATGCAACTGGTTTTCCTGTGTGACTTGCTTTAAAGGGGAATTCCAAAAAAGGCTGTAACAATGTTAGTGCCAATGGACTTCATAGAGCCAAGTCCAGCAGAAGCTTTTTAAAAGCAATTCATTCAGATGTATAAGTTCTAATATATTTGTTTTAAATGTCTCATTATTTTATAGTGACAATTTGTATACTCAGGAATAAGATGATGCTTTCAAAATGTTTTAAAAATAATGACTAATGCCTAATATATCCTCAATAGTATATACTTTAATTTTATTGCCATCCACCCAAATGTAGCAAAACAATACACTATATAACATATAATTAATACAATAATATATGTATTCAAATAACATAATACATGCAATATAATAAAAATATACCATAGCACAGCATAGATTCCAGGCTAGACCCAATTCTAACATTAAATTACTACGTGGCACTTGGGAAAAAGTCCTCACGCTCCCTAGGCCTCATTTCCTCTTCTAAAAAACTGGGAAGTAACAGTTACTATATTGACAGAAAGGCTGCTAAAATGTTTTGAAGCTAGAAATACTATATAAAAAGGTGATATTACCAAATTTTTGCTCCCCAAGAATTTAAGGGGCAGAAATTACCTTTTCAAATAAGGGAGTAGACTATTTTAAGAGAATATAACTTGGTAATAATTATAATCACTTTCTAGTGAGGATTCACTTACCTAGATACACCTGTAGGTGATAAGCTGATTTCATACACACCTGCTCTGCTAAAGCAACAAAGGAAACAGACTTGTTAGTTTGAAAACTAACAAGTTAGTTAGTAAAACAATACACTCCAGCTTTGGTCCAGTGGAAAATTCTAATTCACCCTTCAAAAAACTCAGCTCAGCAACACCTCCTCTAAACCGTTCATTACCTTTAATCCAGGAAAGTAACATTGACCATCTCATTCTCTGCACTACTAACAGACCTTAAATATAAGGTCTACTGTTTCATAACGTACAAGATTACAATTTATCTGTTTACATGTCTATTTCATTGACTAGACTGTGAGCGCCTTAGAAGCAAGGGTTATTATTCTATTTCCTAGTGCTGGCACATAGTAGATGGGAAATAAAATGTTACTGAATTACATCAAATGTAAATACATCTAAACTGCTACAGATGTGCCAGGTAGTGAGGTCCATGATAAGAAAAGTGACACGGACTGGATAGGTTCATCTATCAAGACCACTGTGTCAGATTGATCCTTCTCAGAGAGAGATTACATTATAGAGACTAATATAAAGAGACAGTTTTCATATCATCCTCTGTCATGGGAGTTAGCAGTTCATCATCTCTGAGCTAGATTCTTAGGTAGGTGTCTGAACCTCTTTGAGCCAAAATGTAGGCATAGTTGTCATACATATTTACCACATTTCTACCTAAGTTGTATATAAAGTTTTCCAGAGTATACAGAGAATACAATACTTTAATGTGGTGTATTTTGGCCCACATTTAGAAACTGGCTCTCTTCGAATGTGCAGGATGTTTCTGGCTATTAAAAAAAAAAATCCAGCATAGCTACCTTTAGATAACCAGAATTAATAAACTCTAGGGCCAAGTAAGAATGGGTTCTGTTATTTTTGTCTGACTTGCAAACTCAACAATTGCCAACTTTTTCAGCCTGAATGTCCCATCTATACCTTGTAATAGGCATCATGGTTTTTGATTATTGTCTTTATTACCAATGAAGGCAATACCACACTGGTATTCTTAAAACAGTCAAACACTATCAGAGCTACATAGGTCTTACGTGATTATACAGCCCAAACTCTTAATTTTACAGACAAAAAAAATGAAATCCAGAGAGATAGAAAAAACTTACTTAAGGACTAGTTATATAGCTAACTCGTGGCAAGGTTAAGACTAGATACTTTCTTTGAAAGTGTATTGTCATTTGTGTTAGTTTCAAATTTTTCTAAGATATACAATCCAATCTGCAAACAGCTAGACAGCATGACAGATTACTCACTGGCAAGAACATATAGCTAATGCTAATTTGCTAAAATAATAGTTTCTGCTGACAATTTATCTATGTCAGATGGAAACTGACCAGCAGGAAAAGAATCTCTCATCAATTCTGGACAAGGACATTTTAGACACAAATCAATATAAGAGGGATATTTACTATCATTTACATTGTTCCCAAACAATTATGTGGTTTTAATAAATGGATTGTAGGGTCATCTAGATTGCTAGCAGCTTTCATAAGCATTGCTAGTAAAATGGTATTTAAAGGCTTCTCATACAGCCATGTTTCAATGACTCAGGAAAAAAATTCCCCTCTGTCTTTACCAGAGATGTGTTAGCTTACTGTTCACAGATATCAGTGACATAGGGCCAGGAAATCTACAGAATCAAAGTTTAATGTACAGAGAGATCTTGTTGCATTTTCTAAACTATAAACAAATTCAGAAAGTCTTCTCAAAAGATCAAATTTAAAGACGTCTCAGATGGGAATATCTCAGCCTAAAATTAAGACACTTATTGGGTCATTCTCTTCCAGATGGAGAAAACAGGGTGAGGGAAATAATCCAGGCTTTCCATTTCACTGTGGGCAAGTTACAGGAAGGCAGTAAATTACTTACTCAATCACTCGTGGCTCTGGAGCTCTACGTACTACCTGCAAAGAAAAAGGCAGATCTTATTTCTAGAATAATTCCTTATCCTCAGGGAGACTGATTTACCATAGCCTCCCATTTCTGGTCAAAATAAAGCAGGCTTAAAATTATCCCTTTTTTTTATTCCAACTTCTCACTATCCCATTAGAGACCCTTGTTTCTGCTGTTCTTAGAATTACTTCACACTGGCTGGCAGACAATAAAAGATGATATAATTGATTTTCCTAGCAGCTTGCAGCTCTGGAAAACCCTTCTTTACATAAAGAAGATTTTTTTTTTAGAAATAGAAGATAAATCAAGCATTTTGCTGTAATAACTGAAATTTCAATCCAATTCCAAAGACATTTGCTGCAGTAGCACTGAAGACAGCATGGTTTCAGGACTGTCAGAACTTAGATAACCGATGTAAGCTCTAGTTATGGTAGTGCCTCTAGCCTCTAATCACAGTATAGCCTCCTTTCCAAAAATAAATGGGGAATAATATATGACTATAAACTGGGGGAGGATTAGGAAGAATCCTCAGACATATGAAGGAACTGAAATACATCACATTTCTTTATTATTACAGTCCTTTTGCACTGCTATTTATTAGTGAATTTATTCAGTCACTATTTGAGCATCTACTATGTGAACACAGTTTTTATAAGCAAATCTTTGTTATTGTTGAAGGAGAAACAAGAATTTACCTGCTGAGGTTCTTTGAACACAAATTCTCTGTTAGACACTTGGTCCTTGTTTCTCCAGGTCTGACCAGGCATCTGATGGAGATGGCTCTTAGCAGTGGTGGCTAAAACAAGAAAGAGAACAGCCTCAAACCAGGTGAAAGTCTGTTCTCATCACTTCTACGGAGCAAGGGCCAATGAAATCCACTTGGGGATGACCTCTATGACATTTAGAAATTAACTGGTAAACTCAACACACACTGAAAGGTTTGAGGGTATTAACTAAATATGAGGAGCACTGAAGACCCACCCTTAGCTCATGATCAACAAAATCAGACAAAATACCAGCCACGTTTTAAATAATTTTTTTAAGGCAAGCATGAGGCGAAACTTACTGAGGGTGAACAAGATAGGCTTATAGAGCAAGAGCAAGATATAAGTTTAGAGAGCAAGATACAGATACCACAGATGATGACCAGACTCCTTGTCATAGCAAAAGAGCCTCTCAAACAATTCTTTAACATCAGTTGAAATGGGAGTCTGTTATAAACCAAAAGGATATAAATAAGAGGATAGCTGTACACACACACACACACACACACACCCATAGGTTCTTGCCTGGCTGAGCAATGGCCTGGCTCTTAGCAGGGGCAGCCCATGCTCCCTGCACCCGGGCTCGTCGTCTCTTTTCCTCCATGCTGGCCAGAAAGGCTTCTGTTCTGAGCTTTCAGAAGATTTCGTTCCTGATTCAAATTACACAATGGTGTCTGTTTTTTAAAAAAAAAAAAAAAGGTGATTTTAGTTAGGGTTGTAAAAGTTAATACTTTTAGGCAGAAGAGATGAGTCCACGGTAATCAGAGCTTCTCTGTGAAATCAATTTCTGTCATCACAATATCTCAATCAAGGGAACCTAAGTCATTTGGGGCTGTTGGTTTTAGTGTTCATCTTTTGTAATCTTGTCCTAGCACTTTTGCTTCTTTGACAAGAAAGTGCATGTTAAGAAATTCCAAAACCAAGATCTATCACAAACCACATTATTCGTATTAGTCAAGGGCCTAACTTAAGGGAACTGTAATACTCCCATTTTCACCTCCATGGACATTGAGAAATAAGCTAAGACTCAGTTTCCAAGTGTAGTTCCATATTCCATTATCACTGGCTGCATTAAATTTCCCTGGAAGCTTGTTAAAAACACCCATGGCCCAGCTCCAAAAAATCTGATTTAGGATGGATATAGGCATTTGTCTTTATAACAAGCACTGTATGGATTTGACAATATTCAGCCATGTATGGGGACCACAAGGTTTAGTAACTCACCCAAAGTCACTCAGGAAATCAACAGTAGGTAGATTAACATTCCATTTTTATTAAGTTCTTGTCTTCAGCTAACTGAAAAATCCAACTCATAATGGCCAGTAATACTAATTTGACATTTTACCAATAAAAGTTTAGCCCATAGCAAATACAGTAGTATTCACACCTGCAAAAAAAAAAAAAAAACTGAGGAGGTTCAGGCCACATGTTCCGAATCTGTAATCTTTTTATTTATGGGTCTATCTCAAGTTCTCAAAGGTAACAAGCTTATTTCATAGCTTGTTTAGCCTATAAATTCCCAGGCCCTACCTCCCACCTCTTCTGATCCAGGAGAACTGAGCAAAGCCCAGGAATCTGTATGTTTATCAAGTGCCTCCAGGTGATAAGCATGTAATTCCTCTCACTTAATTGGTGGGGAAATGACAGAAGCTGCCATGCGCCCAAAAGAATCAATGACAGAATCAAATACCAATTCTCCAAACCCAGGAGGCCTCGTTTGTTTTCTTTCAATTGAGGTCTTAAAAGCTTAACGAGACAATTAGCTATAGTCCCCAGAAAGGCTATCACCTGCTCGCCTTCTTGCTCCGCAAACTAGAGAGCGATATTTTATTTCTCAGGCAAAAACTGTTGAAAAAAAATATAGATTCCAGAGCCCCATCTCAGTCATTTGTGGAGTTCCAGAATTTGTTAACTAACGCCACCCTCCATCCAGGAATTCTTTATGCAGATAAAGCTTGAGAACTCTGCTGTATTGTAAAGAATAAGGACTCTGGCACCAGCCAGGACTCGCTTTGAATCCAGATCTGTCACTTCCCGGCTGCATGACCTGTGCAGCAAATTACTTCACCTTTCGGAGCCCCCGTTTCTTCCCCAGTAAACAGGATAATCAATAATACCTCCCTCACGGTTGAGGTGTAGATTAAGGGAGCCTCGCAGGTGAAAGAGCCTGGTCCTGAATAAGGGTTAGCTCCTTTCTCTAATTTAGACTCTTCTCTTCCAGGAGGCCCCGAAGGTCGTTTGGGAAGAGAGACCTCAGGAGTGGTCCTCACCCCCCCAGCCCCGGTTACACAGCAGTAAGTCAGGAGGGCGCACCTGCTGGCGGAGCCTGGAGCGCGGGTCCAAACCCGGTACGCCTTGGAGCAGACCCGGCTGCCCCCGCCGGCTCTGCAGCCGGCGGACGGGGGAACCTTAAGAGTGAGACACCGACTCCAGCAACTTCCAACCACAGGCCGCGGCATCAGGCACTTCCTCCCGTCGCCAAGCGCCGCCGTCGCCACTTCCGGTGCGCCGCCTGGAGTCCGGCTGCCACACATTCCCCGCGCCTGGAAAACCTAGTCACTGGGGAGCTGATGAGGGGGGCAGGGTTGGAGCGGAAGACAGGGTTGGAGGGTGTGGTGGAGCGGCGGTATGAGGGGCCGGGGTATGGCACAGGTGGACGTGAAGACGTGCCTCCTATGCAGAGGTTCTTGGGACGTGAATTCCCTGAAACTGGAGGCATCAAAACACTGGCATCTTCGATCTATGGAGGAAAGAGCGATCCCAGCGGGGCTGGCGGAAGGGCGAGGGAGTTGGGGGGTCCAGATCGTGATGTGCTAAGCAAAAGGATTTGCATTTTATTCTGGAAGCCATGGAGAGCCTAAGATACGCCTCCTTTTTGTCTCCATTGCAGCCTGTGAATTGCACTTACGACCGGACATAGGACCATGCCTTAATTCGTCTTGGCTCTCCAGTGCTCAGCAAACTTTGCTTCAGTGAACAGACCTACTTTTCGGTCCAGATCCACCATTTACTAGGTGTATAATTTAGGGCAAGAACATAGCTCCTGTTGAGAGGATTAAATGAGCTAATGTATTTAAAGAATTTGGCACAATGCCTGGACCACAATAGACTCAATGTAAAGAGTGTTAAGAGTGTCTTCTCTTCACCCCATTTAAGCTCTTGAGAAACATCTTTGAAGTGTCCATGTTAAACAATATACCTCACAATGTGAAATAGCAGAAGTAGTACTGAACTTATTTTGTGCAAGTCATTCTCTAAGATCTACCAAACCATAATCACTGTGGAAATCTTTAAGCCTGGTATTAGATAGTGCTTACCTGCAGGAAGCTCAGTGTATGTACCCAATCAATGTACCTATATTGTTGTTACTATCAAATCCATTTTCACAGCATATATTATTATTTATTCTACTTTGTGACATTGAAGAAAAAATGATTTATCCTAGAACTGAAAGAAGAGAAAGTGGTAAGGCCAGACTATAGTTTTTATCTTTTTTTTTTTTTTTTCTTCCATGGGCTAGTCATTTGTCAGTGTCTCCTTCTGGCTCAGGAACCTTGGCTGTGTCTTCCAAAAGATGTAATTTCTTTCTTTTCAATGATCATAGTTTTGGAACAGGAACAAAGAAGTCTGGATTGAAGAGGTCTTAAAAGTAGTGATTAACACCTCTTCAGCCTCCAAGTAGAGCATTTCTCAAAAATCAGTCCATGACCCACTTTCATCTGAAATCACTGCATTTTTTAACAGGATCACTTGCATTTTTAACAAGTACCCAACTGATTCTGATGCACAGAAAGTTTGAAAACCTCTGGGACACATGTGGGGTGACAAATTGCTCTGGTTTATCTGGGACTGAGGGGTTTCCCAGGGCACAGGATTTTAAGTGTTAAAGCCAGGATAGTCCTAGACAAACTGAGATGGGTGGCTACCCTGAATACATGTATGTATGTAGTACTGGAAAGATGTTCTTGATGGTCTTGGCATCCTCATTTGGGTCTTGGTTTCCTTATTTCTATTTGGAGTATTTTCATCAGGAGGTGGTGGTAGAGACCATGGGAGAGGGAATGAAAGTGAAGTGCATTGCCAGTTATCAACCCATTGATTCTCCATTCCAAACTCACCCTTCATTGCCCTGCTTGCAATATTGGAACATTTCTCCCTTGCCATTTGGCCCAATGAGTAGTAAGTTTCATCAGTGGAGGGTGCGGGAGGAATATTAGAGTAGAAAGGGGCTCTTTGTGGTTGCGGTGTGCTCCTCTCAGCTGGGTCTCCAGTGCACAGTGGCTGGTAGTGTTTGACTACTCCCTGTGGGCTGAATTAGAAGGTTAGTTGAATTTACAGCCTTGCTAAGTTTCTCTTGTGAAAGTTAAGGCATGAATTGGGAAGGAATGGAATCCTGTAACTTGAAATAAGAACTCTGCTTGGATCCAGATAACTGACAGTTTGAACAGCCAAATCACCCTGTGCCTGCCTTGGCGGTGGAAGTAGCTTGCCCTCCTATGTCTGGGGATACTAATCATCCTTTGCTTGAAAACACTGCTAGACCCTCACCTGGAGCAAATGACTTGAAAAAAGAGGCTCATTCTCCACGAGACCTACCACAACTTACTGCCCCTCCTTCCGCCCTATTGCCACCAGACCCATAACTAGGTTCAAATCTCATAATGTTCCCAGTGAGCAGGTGCACACTGTGATAGAGGACAAAATCACTTGCACACGAAAAGAATTATACTACTTTGCTAATGTATATCTGTAGGAAACCCGGGAATATGCATGGAAATGGATTCTGTTTTAAACAAAGTAAGGCAGTTTATAATACTAGATTAGATCAAATTAATTTATGTGGATGCACTTACAGACATACTGTGTTGACTCATACAACTAGATGTGACTCCAACAGCTTACTTGGTGGATTTACTGAAGCTTTAATTCAGCAGTGGTCTATAGTTAATGTTATTGAGATACCAAATAATGATGTGGAGGAGGGAGACCAAAGACGGCGGGGAGGCGTAGAAATGTTGGACTGGATTTATCACGTATGACCTTCACCTGCACACAACAGACACAAACACAAAAACTGTGTCCCCCAAAAGGAAAAGTAAAAACCCAGACCTTTTAGGGGTTATTGAACACTGTCTCTGAACTGTCCTTAATTCCTGGGAACCTAAGATACTGTGGTCCACCAGTGAAAATGAGGGCTTATGATGTTCAGGTGATAGATGGAATCTTAGCGCAAGTTTGACTCCCAGGGGACCTATTTGGTCCATAGAGCCATGGTTATTTCCCCAGTTCCTGAATGTATGCAGATGTACCTTGACTTATAATAGAGTTATACCCAAATAAACCCATTGTAAGTTGAAAATACCATAAGCTGAAAATGTATTTAATATACCTAACCTACAGAACACCAAAGCTTAGCTTAGCCTACTTTAAACATACTCAGAACACTTACATTAGTTTATGGTTGGGCAAAGTCATCTAATGCAAAACCTATTTCACAATAAAATATTGAATATCACATGTAATTGATTACTGTACTGAAGTACAATTTCTACTGAATGTGTATCGCTTTCACATCATCATAAAGTCAAAAACTCGTTAAGTGGAATCATCATAAATCAGGGTCTGTCTCTAATTGGATTAGATGTATTTGGAAACTGGCAGAATTCCCACATTGACTCTCTGACCCACAGAGTAAGAGCCATTTGGTAGGAAAGGCTAGGTGAGAACTCCTGGAACTTCCCTTCCCTACCAAGATTGTAAAACAACAATAGCAATACTATATTCCTGGAGGAATTGCAAAGATTTATACCACAATCAAAGACTTGACAGAATTAGACTGTGATACCTATCACATTCTCATCTAATTTTCTGTTGACCTGTGCAGAAGTCAAATGGATCTTGGAGAATGATTGTGGGCTATTATACATTTAATCAGGTGCTGGCCTCAATGCCACTGCTATCCCAGATGTATTATCTTTACTGATCCAATTAACATGACCATTCGCATTTGGTATGCAGCCACTGAGCTGGCTAATGTCCTTTTATCCATATCGATTTACAAGAAACATTCTGCCTTTACTTGGCAGGGCCAACAGTATACTCTCATAGTATTGTCTCAGGGACACTTTAATTCTGTTGTTGCCATAGTAGAGTCCACAAATCATTCTGATATTCCACAAAATATCACACCAGTCAACTGTAATGATGACATAATGCTGATTGGATATGATCAGTAGAAGGTAGAAAGTGGTTTAGGTGCTTTAATAAGATGTGAACTACAGTATGAGAGATAAACTCCGTAAAAACTCAGGGGCCCTCAACATCAGTGAAGTTTCTGGGGGTTCAACAGTCTGAAGCATGTTGAAGATATTCCCTCTAAGGTGAAACACAAATTGCTGCACTTCACACTCCCATTACAAAAAAAAAAAAAGATATATCACACTTGTTAGGCATTTATGGAATTGAGGGGGAATGTGTGCCACATGAGAGTGAACAGCTCTATGGAGTCATCCATAAGGCTGCTGACATTGCACTTGATATCAGCAGATATAGGACCAGACCAAGAGAAAGCTTCGCCGTCAATTCAGGTTGCTGTATGAGTTGCTTTACCACTTGGACCTGATGATCCAGGAGATCCAGTGATACTGAAATGTGTCTCTGGCAAATAGGGATGTTGTATGAAGCCACTGCCAAGCGCTAAGAGGAGAATCACAACTCAGACCTACAGGATTTTGAAGCAAATCTATGACCTCTTCTCAAGAAAACTGTTCTCCTTTTGAAAAATTAGCTCTGGCTTACTACTGGAGCTTGGTAGAGAGTGAATTTCTAACAAGGAGACATCAGGTGACCATATGTCCTGGGCTTCTCATCATGAACTCGGTGTTGTCTGCCTTACCTAGTAATAAAGTTGGCCATAGGCATCCACAAGCTATTATCATTTGGAAATGGGATATAAGAGACTACACTCAGGCAGGTCCAGGTTTGAGTAAATTGCATGAACAAGTGGCTCAGACTGCTTTAACACCTACTCCTATCGCACTGCCTTCTCTCCCTCAATCCATGCCTTTAGCCTCTTGGGGTGTTCCTTACCTTCCTTACAGCCAGTTGGCTGAGTAATATTTTCAGAAACAGGAAGTGGAAGACTTGTGACAGGAAGTCTGGGGAAGAAGGAAGTGGATGGCCCAGACTGTGAAGATATTGTGTCCTATGTGAATGCCTACCATAGGAAATCCATTGCAGAGAAGGCTTTTTAAATAATCAGGTGGACAAATGACACACTCTGCCAATGCCAGTCAGCCTTTTTTGAGGGCTTGTTCAATAGGCCCATGAACAAAGTAGCTGTGGTAGCAGGGATGGATACACATGGGCTCGACAGCATGGACTTTCCCTCACCAAAGCTGATCCAGCTGCTGCTGCTGCTGCAAACCTGATCTATAAATAGCCAAGACTAATCCTGAGCCCTCCATATGTCACCTTCCAGCCAGCCACTTGGTAGCAGATTGATGACTTTGTACTTTTCCCATCATAGAGTGGGTAGAGACTCATGCTCATGGGAATATACACAGTATCTGCATGAGGACTTAGATACCTTCCCTGTCTATACTGCTTTGGCCAGTGCCACCATCTGTGGAATCATCAAATGTCTTATTCACCATTACAGTATTACTCATAGCATTGCTCCTGATTAAAGAACTCGTTTCACAGCAAAGGAAGTACATAAATGGGCTCCCGCCCGTGAAATTAACTCCCCACCAACTGGAAACGGTTGGGCTAATTGAAAGATGCAATGGCTTACTGAAGACAGTTATGGCCTCAGTTGGGAGACAACACCTGAAAGGGTGGAATTCATATTATGGAATGCAGTGTATGCTTTGATCAGAGATCATGATATTGTGATCTCTGCCTCTTAGCCAGAATACATAGCTCTGGGAATGGGTGGAAATGAGAGTGACTCCTCTCATTAATATACTTATTAACACACTTGCTTCCTGTCGCAGCAACACCAAGCAGTGCTGATTTGGAGGTCTGAGTTCCCAGAGTGGGAATGCTTCCACCGGTAGGATCGTGCCTGGAACCAATGGGATTTTCACGGATGACTCTTAGTACTTTGTGTCCAGTAACAAACATTAAGAGAAAACTATAGCGGCAGCAAGAACAAAATCTGTTCCAGATTTGTTCTTTCCTCGGTGTTCTGCCTCAACCTATAGGTAGACAG